CTTCTTTCCGCATTGTGTGTCCGTAAAAATTTGCCTGTCGTTTTCTTATATTCGTGATAAGTTGTTTTCTATAATTTGCTTCAACCAGGACAATACCGTAGTAAAAACAATACTTTAAAATAAAGACTCAGTCTATAGGAAGAGTTGATGTGCTAAACTGCTCTACACACGCTAAATGAACGGAAGTGAGTTTCTCTTCCGGATTGAATTAGAGGCACAGGGCCTAGTCCAAAATCTTGAGGAAGGCTGCAAGTTGAGTGATGTAGCACAGTGGATCTAGGTTGAGTAGAAGCATCCATGATCAAGTTGTTGCATCTCTTACTAGCTCTTTGGTCATGTACAGTTGCGGGTGAGATTTTGCTAACTTTATTTGTTTGTGTATACAATGTACGAAAAGTAAACAAGAATGATAGATAATCCCAAATTCATCCCGACAAAAATAGATAAGGGCTGGTCATATCAGAAGAATGAAGAAGGATGATAGGTGGACAAAAGAATGCACTTAGTGGAGACAAAAAAAGGAAAACAATCAAAGAGATAACAAGAAAAAATGTGGCAAGATGGTATCAAGGCGTGGACGGGGACAGCCTTGATACGGAGAACAGCAGATAGAACAGAATGTAAATCATTGTTGGCATGCAGGCTTACTTTTAATTTTAGTACGTTTTACGGCACTTGTAACTCATTAATGTCATATAAGTGCCGAAGATTAGAAGTGTTACAAGAGAGTAACAAGCGCAACAAAAAGAAGGAGAAGATAGGATGAAAGATGCTGGATAAAAAAGAAGAAGTTGACCACTCCAGAGCATCTGCCAACCACCCGCCGGAGGACTACTCCCTGCAGTGGACGGACAACTCCAAGAACGAAAATAAAAAGATAGATAGATATAGGTTTTGGCACGATGTGATGTCTTTTTGAGAGAAAGAAGGACCTCTCGTTGTGACCATGATGGGTGTTGTGAGAGGGGGGGGGGGTTGTTATTTTTGTTGCGAGACATTGAGCTCCAGTAACAGAAGAGAAGCTGTAGGATAAACAGCTCGTACAGACAAGAGAAGAGAGAGTCGTCTCGTTTGAATTGCGAGCAATGCAACGAGTAAGTCACGTTCCTGCGGGCGAAAAATTACACTAACTGGTTATAACCAAAGATAGTACAAGACAAGATGGGCCACTCAGCCTAAAAAGTGTCCGCAGGAAGTATGCTCTTTGCTTCAGATGGCGCTGCAGTCTGTTTTGAAGCTCTCTTTCGTTTTTCCAGAAGAAGAATAGGAATAGCACCTCCTTGCGTGCGCAGAT